GTCAGCTCCGTAAATATTCCACTTTTTACGCCTTACCCTCGTGCTAGAGAGAGGCAGCGCGAGCCCACGCCCACTTATAATTCTCGTGCGTATATGTGCGGCTACAGCAGCTGCTGCTCTAATCTTCGCGCAAGTTAATTTATTACGAGAAATGGATCACTGCTACCACCGTGAAGGCTCGGTTTTTATGCCTTTTAAAAATTATGGCACGAATATATACCTCATTCCTCCAAAAACTCGTCTCTTTGCGAAACTCGCATTGAATTCAACGATATTTAATATATATCTAGCTTGGAGTTGTACAATAACAACAGGCGCTCCAATGAAAAAAAGTACAGGATAATCAAGTTCGCTCGTAGTTTGATCTAGTAGGAACCAGTTGAAATCGACGAGAGTAAAAATTAATGGGCCCAACGAAATGTGCACAAAGTGTGAATTACCATCTATAGAAAAAGTAAATATGTTGTTTAAACGAGGAAAAGGATCAGCACTAACCATTAAAACGACGTACGATGCAGGTGCTAATCAATGCTAAAGCATCGTCTGCCAGAGGCCCAAAAGTTTCGCGAGGAGATCAATGATTATCACGCAAACGGCAGCTAGCGTATAGGTACACTGCCAAAATTTACTACTCTTGAGCTGCTAATGAAAAGTTTAATAGGTACACCTGTACAACGTGTTATGTAAATACTATTTTTTTTTTTTTTCTACACACAAACATCACTTGCTATGTATTTCCATGCATATTGTTTTCCCAACTCATCTCTCGTTCAACGCGCATCGGCTTGTATTAAGTAAACATTTTGATTTAGTGGTAGGATGATAAATTTACAACTCGCGTTAAACTGCGAGCCATGGAATTATTGCAAATTAGGTGTGAGTAAAACATTTTGCTTCGACGCTGGTGAAGAATAATCGGTTAAGCTGGATCTACGAGGCTCGACCAACACAGTTTTATTCATCGGGCAATGGTATCACAATACTATGAAACTGTATTCGATAATTCTTCGCTTAACTGACAAATAACATTCAATTGATACAGCAACGAAAATTGGCGTAACCAAGTATTTGGTGAATAGACTCGTCGATTGGCTCGTGAGAAGAAAAAAGGAAAAGGCGCGCCAGAAAGACCGCGAATTCTACACTTATAATGATCATCGCGCGGAGGTCGTCAGTTCCTGTTTGCTTGCGGTTATAGACTTGTATCGCCGCGAAAACAAAATCCAACGCACGTGCGCTGTAAAACCGCATTGTTGGCACGGCTTTTTTCGTTTTCTCGTCTAAAATTGAACGAGACGCAAACTCGCGTTTTGAGCCGAAAGTTTTATTTTTAAAAAGTGTATGTATTTCCAAATGCGCGGCTGCGTCCAAATTTCGCAAAACGTCAAAAGATATAGGAGGATTAAGCGCAATCGTAAATAAACGGAGCCGCGGCCATAAACACGCCCCGAGACGAGAGAGGCTGGCTTGGGTGTAAAAGCCAAATACAAAGCTCGTTTTTCTTAAAAAAAAAAAAAAAAAAAAAAAAAAAAATCGCCTCTTCCAAAAGTGGTTTTACACTTTTTCCTGCGTGTCTATAAATACAAAAGACGCTACGTGGCTGCACAAACACCAGCGAGCTTTGTACTCTTGCGTCAATAAACAAAGTGCATCAAACCAAGAGTCATTAATTGGGACTGGGCTCTGGCACTGATCTTCGGTGTTACACTTCCTTAATTTACGATCTTTCGGGCTGTACTACCACCACGACGACAATAACAACGGCTTCGAGTTTCTTAACCTGCTGAGAGCGCACATGTGTTTATGCGTCTATCATTTTGACCTTTGCGAAAAAGAAATTTAAAAAACTTCTTTGCGGAATAAGTGGTAATTTTTCAAAAATAATAGCTTACTTTTTTTCGAAATAATAAATCGCATTATCTCGTCAAAATAAATCCAGATTTTGATTAAACATTGTCCGCCAATCGTAATAATTTTTAAATGAAATCATGACGCAACAGGTGATGCTGTGCGAATATCCGATGCTTGTAGGAATTTCAAATTGACGATCGTTTGAAAAACAAATTGACCGGCGAATAACCCGTAAGTTGGATCGATAAATTTATACGTGCCCATTACTGCCATTAAATATTAAAACACATTCGCTTCGCCGGCTGCAATTTATGGCTCACTAGATCTATTAGCATCCCAATCACAATTAGCGCATTACTTCACTCAGTTACAATAATTTTGCGATATTTATTATTAAACACGTGCCGGACTAACACGTTAGTTTTTAATCACGTGAATCGATGTATTTCTGCTGATAAAATGTGACTTGTATACTTGAAAATCGTATTCGTGTGCAATCAATTAGCTCGACCGAGTGGTGTGTGGAATAGCGATAATTCACCTCCGCGTTGCTCGAATCAATCTTCCGGTACAATTTTATTTTCAATATAAACTCCTGAGCACGAAATACGCGAAATCGAGGAAAGGTGAAAGTAGCTCCTCGTCCGCTTGTTCGAGGAGAAAAGCTCTGGTGCATGGCCTGTAAATTGCCAGCGGGACGTGGAGACGCCAGACGATCGGACAAACTATCTTTGCCGCAGATTGGTGTTTGCCACGGCGGATCGATCATTGGTAAAGGGTATATAGACACGGTCTATTGTGGAAGTGTGTGTACGAAACGGTAGAGAGAATTTTTTTCCTTCTGTTTGGCACACCTATGGAGTATTTGGAGAGGAAAAAGGAAACGTTTACTCTCGCCCTTATTTGACGATTTTCGTCTCTGATTACAAGGCCTTAGAAGACAAAATTGCACTTTCTTGACCAATGCGCATGATAGAAAACATTTGTATGAAAAAGTACAAAAACTTTTAAAACCGTATCAAGATGGCATACCGTTTCACAGATTTATATAGTTCCTCATTATTTTGGAAAATTTAAATCATGAAATTCGTGATTTATTCAAGATTGACAAAAACGTCTATTGAAGTCTTGTGGATATCTTCTTTCATTTGATATGTATTATAAGTACGAGGTAAGCTTGAATAGAATACTCTAGTTTGTATTTTTTTAAATTATGTGTATTGAAACTTGAGTATTGAAATGACATTTTATCCATAATCCTTACAGCCTCTAGATCAGGTATATGTTATATAAGTGAAGAGGATCGAATCGTAGATTGTATTTTGTCGGTGAAAAATCTTTGTCAATAAAATTTAATTATGAACGAACTAAATTTTGAAAAAATAAAATAAAAAAATAGTTACAATGTCTGTTAGTTTTTCTGTTAGAAATATAGTTATATTTTTATGTATTATAGACTCATATTTCTGCAGTACATGTTCAGAGTGATAGATTACATAAATAAATTACAACACAATACTGTTAAGTAGTATCACGTTGTGTTGTGCAAAGTAATGTGTAAACAAAAAATTTATGTAACGTAAAATTTTAATTAATTTTTGCGTACATAGTATAGCTTATTGTTTCTTGAACAACTGAAACTTTTCCAGTGGCAACAGTACTAACATAAGTAAACCAAACATAATAGATATTAATTTTATAATAATATGTTACTCATTATCAATACATGTAGTCAAAAAAAGTGAAATAGCACATATTTGGTTTTTATAATCTTTCACGATAATTCTTTGGGATTTTTTTTCTGTTCCAAAGCGATTTGCAGCAAGGCATGAATAATTCCCACTATCACTTTCCAAAAGATATCTTATAATCAGTTTTTGATTTCCATCTACTAAACTAAACTGTTTTGACGGTTCTAAAAGTACGCCGTTTTTATACCATGTAACACTAGGTTTTGGTGTTCCTTTAACATAACACGATAAATAAATAGGATTTTCATGATCTTTCACTAATCGTTTTATTACAGCATCACTCATATTGACATAAGTAAAAACGGGCTTTTGCGGAACTGAAAATGGAAAGTTACTAAGTAATGTAACTGCATACCATTACTTAAAATGTAAAAGTTATGTATTTTGTGAGTATTATACGTTGTTGTTACCTTTGTCATTCATGGAATAAACTATAAATTTATTTCTTCCACCATCTAAAGCAACAGCTTTACAACGATAGTGCTTTGTGTGTAATCCACTTACATTATGGATTGATAGAACAGAACGGTAAGTGAAATTGGTATTTATCGATGTTACTGTTATGTACTCTGAAATTAAATAAAGATTGAAATAGTAAAAGAAGGAAAAGTCAAAGTTTAGATTAAACAGGTTGTAAAAACTACAACATTTTGTGATACACAATTATTTTAATACTAACCAGAATTCGTAACCAATTCTTGTTTATCGTCCAACCATACCACGGAACGATATTTGCATAATGTAGCAGCACATACTAAAGTTAAGTAATTACCTTCGAATGTTTCTATTTCTGGTTCAATAATCTCAAAAGAAACATCAGATACTCCATCTTGAATAAAAACAACTTTTTTAATCAAAAATGTGTGAAATCAAAACTTAAGAAACATTAAAAATAATAAAAATATCATTACCAGTAATACATATGTTATGGCTCACAGTTTTGCAGGCATAATTATTGCAAGCTTTACAACTTATTTTGCCAAATGTTACCAGATTTCTGGTTACAACTGAGATTGTTCTGTTATACATTTTTTCATCTGTTTCTGTACTCTGAAAAAAAAAAATATGAAAGTCGTTTTTGTTATTTATTCACGCAAATAAATACATTATTATTATTACAGTAGTAAGAACAATGACTATATTATTTTTATTTCAATTATTATTTATACATAGAAAAACACAAAACCTTTAACTTTAGTGTCTTGCAGTCATTACTGTATTGCCACTTTGGGCACTCTGTATATAACCAAGATAGGTTAGACCTTGAATCAGTTTTGCAAACAAACGTCGCATTTTTGTTAAAGCTGTAATACGATTTAACGCTCTGCGCGTCGAATTGAACCGTTGGCTGATATGTAAGAGTGGAATTGTTTGGAATCACTAACATTAATTAAAAGATTATGCTATAGCAAAACATTAAAATTAAACAAAAAGCATGGTTTTGCGTGGAACCCACCATAAACTTTAAGCGTAAAATTTAAAATCTTTTCTCCAATAATGTTTTTTGCACAAAGAGTATAAATGCCCTCATCCAACTTCCGAACATTATGTACTTCTAGAATGCTCATTGATTCTTCATAGTATATTTGGTAATCATAGGATGATTCAATCTGCTGTCCATTAGGGCCAATCCTAAAAAGTCACATTACAGACAAAGATAAATTGAAAGTATTACAATATATACGTAAAATTAGACTTTCATTAATGAGCAAACAATTACCATCTAAGGATTGGTTTCGGATATGCTATAACGTGAGCCACAAACGCAACTGAACTACCATTTATATGGATCTTATTTTGATCATTAGTTGTTAAATTGATGAATGGATTGCTAGGATCTATAAGAACGAATTCCTTCAGTATTTTGGGTGATAATAATAATGAAGTAATTATATTTAGTAACTTACCATACACGTAGACATAGATGTTGGCACTTTTATTTTCTCCAAATGAGGATTTTACTTGGCACGAGTAATTTCCCTCGTCATCGTAAGTTACATTGTGTAGAATGAATGTAGATGTAATTGAATCAGTAAATTGGTTGATTTTTTCTTGAACAGGAACCAGAATTGTTCTGGAATTCTAGTAATGACAAATACTTTGTAATTCCACAAATGTACTAATGCAATTTAGCAACCATTTTTTAAATTTATAAAATAATGGACACTTTAATGTTTACTGAACTTTACCGAATTTTGTGGTGTCGTCCAAGAATATTTGTAAGGGTTTTCTATTTTGATTGTCACTGCACATTTTATTTTTAATGTTGAGCCTGCAGTAACTGGATTTGCATCGTCCTTTTTTATGACTAATTTTCCCATACAATGGTGAAAACTATGAAATGTTATTTCCATCTTATGCGACAAACTGTCTTGATGCACTTCACAAGTATAGTCCCCTCGGTCCATTCGACTAGAATTTTTCAAGACAAAACCAACTTTAGAATCAAAAGTTATCCTTTCGCCAAGCCTGAGCTCCTAAAAAAGGTAATTCAAAGTATCAATTAAATTTCCCATTCGCTTGAGGGATCAAATCAAGTTTATACATATTACTTTGTTATTTTTCTTGAGAATCACTTGGAAATTAGGAGAAGTCGTTCGGCACGGAATAATAACCTGGTACCCAAGACATCCAAAACCATTTAAAGATGTCCATACACTTTGTACAAATGCACTCGTATTGGCTGCATAAAAAAATTATATCACATGACTATGCATAAATTAAATGCGTTCATTATTATATGCCATATAAATACATTATTGTTTATGTACTTAATCATCGAGAACACAAAAAAAGCTGTTTAGTGCTATGTCAGTGTCTTTTCTCAAAGAGATAATTGTTTTGTATCTTAAAAATATCCAGATGAAGATATTCAGTTTATAAAATAATCAAGTTTTAAGGTAAAAAGAATGATGTGTTCCATATACGTACAAATAAAAACGAGTAAGAAAAAATAAAAGTTAATACCTCGATTTTTTGATACGACACAATGGTTTTCCTTTAGGAAAGCCAAAAAAAATTACAAAATATTCTTACAAGTAATGTAGATGTATATCCAACTAGCAGTTGGATCGTCGTATTCTTTGTGCGTCATGTCCGTCATTTTCTTATTTATGTCGACACATCCATACCAGCCAGTGTCACCGACAACAGTTGATGGTCTTCGAAATGTTTTACTTTGTTTCATTTCATCTTCAGAGATGGTATGATCAGATACCACTATCTTTTTATTAAAGTAATGTGATTATTTGTTTTTCTTTAGTTAAAATTAATATCAAGTTCTAAAGTCACGCAACTTACTTGTTTATTATAATAATCACTAATGGGGTAGTGAAACTTAAAGTCACCGACGCTGATGCACGTAATTTCTAGCGCTTCTCCTTCATTTATCACTAGCTCAGTCATGTTGTAATTAAGCTGAGGCTTATGTCCACCACATCCTGAGTTTCATTTGTACAAAAAATTTGTTGAGCAAGTATTAGTGAGGATATGTCAGTTTTTGTGAAATTAATCATATATTATGACGTGTATGAAAATCAAGGTATTAAGTGTATCATCAGAAGCAATAATATATTTTAGCCATCACATTATATAATCCTACAATGTTTAAGTACTGATATGCCGCTTACAAAATTACATACGTATAAAATGATAAAAAAACAAAAAAAAAAGATAAAGACAACTATGAGGCTGAAAATAACCGACCATGTCACCTGTAGTGATCGCGTTTATGATCGGGGCGTATGACGGCTGCAATTGATGGTGACATAATATTTAAAAAATGTTAAGCACCCAGTTTTTAACCATAAATTTAGATGAGTTAAATTCAATTTTCGAATATGAATAGCACTATGTTTATACGTACCTGAAATAAGGTAGAGGCTGAGGAAGAGCCAGGACCATCGAAGAAGTGCCTGCAGGCCTCGCATCTGAACGTTCGCCATCCCGCACCGTACAAAATGTTCTCAGCTAGTAATATTTACAACTCAAATAATGGTGACTCGCAAGTTAGCCGAAAGTTAGATAAATACCTGAAGATCAGTTAATATGTGGATAATACCTACGATCGGCCACTATATTAAAAACTGGTACCAGCAGCTATGAGGCACTAATGTGGAAAAAGATAATACCAGCGAGCTTTTATTTGTTTGGAGTTGACATTCTTTTGTCCCACCTGATGTACAGTTACTTTCATTGATGCTCTCCACCAAGATATGCTAAAACTATCGGTTCTATCATGATACAAGTAGCCTAAAAAGCCCCAACGTCTTTGGGTGATTCCTAATGACTTTTTCAAGTCTCGGGTTATAATTTTATGTTCCAGATACCAATACCAATACGTAGCTGATGAGACAATAAATAAATAAAAAAGTTTCAAAAGAGCTTTTATTACAGTTTTATGATTTTTAACTTACATCACTCACATATTTATATTACTTGAAAGTCTCGCACAACATTTCAGGACATAATTGAATGTTCTCGAAACTTTAAAAAAAAAAAAAAAAAAAAAAAAAAAAAAAAAAAAAAAAANGTATATAGTTTCCAAGAACACACTTTTTTGTACAATAAACTTTTCCAAACAGTGTTTCTTTTGTATACTCAGAATAACGAAAATCGTTCGTATGTATTAAAAAAAAAAAAAAAAAAGAAAAAAAAAAAAAGAAAAGAAGAAACGTAAAAAGAGAGAAGAAAGTGCTCACAATGTACAACGCACCGAAGAAAATGGCTCAATAAAGCGCATATTTTACCGACGCCATGTATACCTCCGCGTGCACGCACACCACACACACGAGAAGACGTAACGTCATCTTTGGGAATTTGCATGTTTAACAAGATGATAATGGCACCCGTGGAAAATGTATGCGCCTCACGGAAGTCGTACACGGGATAAAAGCAGGGCTGGCAGCCGCGTCTTTTTTTAAAATAATCACCACGGCCCAAAATCCCCGGGAACACACGAGGGGGAAGCCAAAGTCGGTCAAACTCCCGCTCGCGAGCCGAGCCGAAAATCTCGACGAGAAAGATAAGCGGATTCGGCGCGGAAGAGGTGCCCGTATAGTATGCAAAGCAGCTGCAAATCCACGAGCTCTCGATACAAATCTCGAGGGATACGATTATACGCTTCGTACGTTCGAATATGTGCGTGTTGTACAAAGAGCAAGACAATGCCGGAATAAAGATGTATAATATCGCGTGTTATAACCGAGTGCTTATTGTGTTTCACATACGTGGTGGATGTTTACACTTGGCCTCTGGTACCCTATACGTATACAAAATGGTCCTGCCTCATAGCTCCGTACAGGTCGAGGACATCGATGATTGCAATGGTATCTGCCCATTTCTGTTTGCTCTCTGCGTCGAGTGGAACTTTGGGAAAGGGTATACGTAGACCACGATGAGTCTCAAACGTGCAAACAAGTCGAGGAGCTTGGGCTGAAAATTAACACGCGACAGATTTTGCTCGGCGGAACAAAAATCCAAACGAGCCCGAAGCACAGCGTGCACTAAATCACCGGGAACTTGGACCACCACCAAATTAGTCGAAATACCTTCTGGTCGATTTTACTCAAAGTTTTTTGTCCCCTCCCCCCTGGAAATATCATCAACGACTGGGTGGGCTGTATATAATCCGAATAATCAAGTGCACAGTCGCTAGCGGGCGCATATTAAATTTGAACAAAAATACGGGGATTGCGAATTGGGCAACAAAAATTCTATGTGTGCACGGGTATGATAATCAACGCAAGCTCTCAAATGCCACTGGATTGCGTGGCTAGTTTAACATTTCTTGTTGGTGAGAAAAAAAAAAAAAAAAAAAAAAAAAAAAAAGGCTGATCTTTGATTATTTTCTTTTTCAACCATACGCGTCGACGAAAGGAAAGGCGGGCTCGGCGTGCAAAAGTTAACGAGGTTGCTGGAGCGAAACACGCGGCCTCATGCATATTTAAATTGAGCCGGGAAATTCGTGGCTACCATTTTCGGGTCCACGAGAGGACAAAGGAGAGGACGAGGAAAAAAAAAAAAAAAAGAGCTACTGCTGCTGCCGGTGACTAAAAGTTCGGATGGTGCGGTCGTGTTCGCGTTAGCGAGAATTGGCAAACGAGGGGGTTGGTCGGTTGGTGGTGGCCGGTGATTACGCGGGTTGCGAAGCTCGATTAAAATTCCCGAATTTACTGTCGTGCGAAAACGGAACAGAGAGAGAGAGAGGGACGAATGCTGGATATGAGCTTTTGCGAGGGAAGATGAGACGGATGGATAAAGGGAATTTGGTTATTGATGATTGTGGAATCGGGCCTTTTAGTATTCGATCTAAAATGCTATCACAGAATAGGATGATTAGTTGATCAATTAGACAATGAAATCTATTTGTTGACAATCACTTATTTTTCAATGAGTGCTGAGATAATACTAGGATTTTTGATAAATATTTACGATTACGGTAGTTTTTAGCAATCAATGTGTCATAGAGATGGAGGAAAATCATCAACATTTTTCGAATTTTGCGCAACAACAAGAGTATATTGGTAATGAATTGGCAGACTTTTTGCGTGGATTCTTTTGAAATTTATTTTCAATATAATTTTCTGCCAAAAATTTGAAGCATTGCTTATGCCAAAAAAAAAAAAAAAAAACTACTAATAACACAGTGCTTGACAAAATTATTCGCCTTCAAAAAATTGTTTCGTATTGAATTGTGGATAATGGTGGATGAAGGATTTTTTCTTTTAAAGTCTTTATTAAAAATCCATAAAATATAATTGCTCTGAAGTCTTCAAGCAATAAAATGAGCCAAAAATAACATTATTTACAATTTTACAGATGGAGCAGTACCTTTTGGTTCAAAAGGGAATGGAAATGATATCGGTTTTTTTTTTTTCTTTCTTTTTAATAACACAGTACTTACATTTTTGTACGTGGCAAGTGAGAGAGAAAAAAAAATGAGAAACAGGACTAAAGCGACTTTCAACGGCATTATTGGCACTTTAAAGTACGTCGTATACAATTTTTCTTTTTTTTTTTTATTCCAGAGTACAGAAGATCCTTAAAAAGTAAAACAGTAGTTTGAGAGGTACGGGGGAGGGTGGTGGTGGTGGTGGAAAGTTACGATAAACTAGTTTGCGAATTTTATTGCGTTTTCGGGAACAAACATTGTTCGGCTGCGCCTTTTCCGCGTAAGTGGATCTTTTTGTTTCGAAAGTTTGGCAGTTACGTCGGGCAATTTGCAAATAAAGTAGCTGGATATACTTGAACATTTTTCTCGCGTGCTCCTTGCGTTGTCAGCTCGAATTTCTTTTTTTTTTCTTTTCTTTCGCCACTGTGATTCCAAAATAGCACGGCCCTCGCAGGCTCAAACTCGGCGAAACAGGATGTAACTATTGGATCGAAAAATATGAGGATAACGAGGAAAGAGAAATATATGGATCTTTCGCGATGGAAACACATCAAAACGGAGTGATAAAACGGTAAGCTATACATTTTACGATAAACGAACGAGGCAAAGAGACCTTCGGAATAGTAAAAAGGAAAAAACTACGTTCGCAGTCGATGCGAGGAGCCAATAACAAGAGCACATCCTTACCCCCGGTACCTCTAAAAACGCCCCAAAGAATTGATTTTATCACACCATAAAGCTCGCCGCAAAGCTCCCCACATGTAGGTAATAGTGTCACGAAGTGGCATTCGCCAGCGGCGGCTCGTAAAGACCGAGCCGTTCCTTCACCACCGACGCAACATATACACACATCCTTCCACTGGCCCAGTTTCTGATTCAACCCGGCTGTTAAAATCGATCGTAGCATTACCTATACGGGTCGTACTCTCTTTCCTTCTCACCCATTGCATTTCGCCCAATCGTTTTCGGCCGGTGGCGCGCGAATCGTTGGGAACATATGGATCGACGGACATATATGTAGGTGGAGCAGGTTCTCTTGTCTCTCGGAAACGACTAGCTACAGCTACGCTCCTCTGTGTGCCCTTGATAGATGAGGAGGAGGAGGAGGCTCTCCTACTGGAAAGTAGGTTGTTGGCTCGATTTTTGGGGGAAGAAATCACGAGGATGAATAGCTCGGGGGACATGTAGGTGAGTACGTATACTACGGAGTCAGATTGGAGGTGGTGATGGAGAATTAGGTTTTACGGCCGCTTTTACATTCGGAGATTTACGCCGGTACATTGAGCGATAACGAGGGAATCAGGTGCATACCGATGAAAAGATCAAGTTTGAGTAGTATAATGTGCCACAATAACAATCAATTATAAAAATAATCTGAACCACGTTGACATTTATAAAAAACGTGTCGTGTCACACATCCGGAACGACTATACAAGAATCCTCGTATAACCTTTGCGCAAATCTCGTTGCACCGTTAGACTTACTCTGTCAATTTTGGTTGGAATTTGTTAACACGGGTTAAAAACTTAGTATTTTGCAGGCTTACATAAGAATTCTACAAAAATCAGCGACACCAATAATTACTCTGGAAGCTTTCACGATGGACTTGGTGGTGCTGAAGGAACTTTTTTTTTTTCTCTCACCAACGGCGATCCCTTGTTCCAATAAAGAGTCTAGGGTTGAGTGTAATCTTCCCTTATATTGCTAAGCACACAAGGGACGAGGGTCGAAATAGTCCAGGGGGGTGGGGGAAAATGTCTCTGTTAAGGACCTAAAATGGCGTTTTATATAAACTCAGTGCCATCCACTGTATGCTGATGGATGGTTGTAAACTGAAATGACTCGTTAAAGGGCGATAGGACTTGGTTTTAATTAAAACATCACGGTATATAGTCCATACTTGTATTCATCCAAGGGTGCATTATTGCACAGAGGATTGAGCAAAGTGCAGCTGCGCTCGAAATTTAACCGTGAGCCATGGCATCTCCAGTAAATTGTAATTATGTTTCGCTCGTGATGCTGTACGTCTCGCTGAAAGAGAGAAAGGTAGAGGCTGGGGATCTGTCCCAAGGGCATCACACACGCTGCTTTGGATTCTCGAGATTCTTGCCAGCTTGCGTAGGTATTATCATTTTAGTGCTAATTCATAGGTGTACCATTACACCACGTGAACTATATATACACGCACATACTGTATACCACTCGACCTGGTTTCAATTGACAACGAGGACTTTGTGTACTCTCTCGATGTCTGCCGTTGTACTCGAAAATACCTGACAGCGTCGTTTTTGCACATACAAATGTAGTGGTAAAAAATCTGTTTCAACAATCTTAGGTTGGATTATGTACAATCTTAATAAATTGCAGAACTTTTTTTTTTAGGGCAAAAGTAATTTTCAACGTGACGTCGGCGCAGTTCCAATTAGTTCTATGGTTATACCATAATATGTGTATACACGTAATTAAGTTTTTATACTTATTTATTTTAATCATTATTTGATTGAGTTTTAGGTTTACGATAAATTCTGACAGATAACATTAAGACAGGTTTCACGGTGAATGAAAAAATTTCATAAAATTTTACAAAATTATAAAACTTGGTAAAACACAATTTTTTGAATTACACGTTATGCAGTATAATATATATACAATTCTTAATGCAAAAAAGTATATAGTTTCCAAGAACACACTTTTTTGTACAATAAACTTTTCCAAACAGTGTTTCTTTTGTATACTCAGAATAACGAAAATCGTTCGTATGTATTAAAAAAAAAAAAAAATGTTTTACAACATCCAACATATTGGACAATGTTAGGATATGCTCATGTTGTAGATCCTGAAAAAAGTAATAAAGTAAAAAAAAATTTCTATAAAATGAAAAAACAATAAAGTTTCATTATAATTTCGTTAAAATGTCTTTTAAATCTATAAGAAATTGAAAAAAAAAAAAAAAAAAAATATGACCAAAATCACACCACTCGCTTAATATACTCAATCATTAAAAACGCCATTACAAATTACACGTTCAAAGACGTAAGAAATACCACGTTGAAAAATTCAAAGCAATAACTTTTGCAAAATATCCCGGTGACTGCGTGTAAGCTCATACACTACATGTACCTCTTAAACACACACACGACACAGCCTTCGAGCGCATCGGTGGAACTGTTGGAGGCTTCGGCTGGGAGAGATAAGCAAATTATCACCTGCATCTACATTATACACAGCAGTCTCGCTAAGGCCTTTTTGCACCATCACCACTATGTCATAAAAACATACACACACTCGTACGTACATGATACATAAACGATGTTACGTGAACTAGGTACCTACGTAACGTCGCTGCGTCAACTCGGTCGGCTTACGACGAATACGTAGACAAAGAAAAATGGCACTATTTTGTACTCAAACGCACCAGGACGCAGTGCGCTTATTCCTCGGTTGGCGGTGGTCTGATCTTGTTTAGGCTGGTCAGCGAGTGCTTTAT